ATGTTATTATTTAACTAATGGGTGAGAATTAGAGGACTGAAGAATTTCATAAAACTAAATATCCAAACTGAAACCTTAGAATTAAGCTAAATATGCAATGTATCCCACATTGATCGTTTAATTTTTATTTATAATTTGTTAACCTTAACTTTACCTCAAATTTTCACTTTTCATTCTTCTTTTTATTATTTTTATTTTATTTATTAAAAATTTTATTATGCTTCATTTTTCCCCTTAATTTTATGTTGTTTCTTGTGTTTCATTAATTTTGAAAAATAAATTAATATTTTATTTAGAAATTAATTAATACACTTTACAAGAAAAAAATTTGAATATTGTTGGTAATGGATGTGTAATGACCCTAAATTTTAAATCAAACAAAAATTATCCTAATGAATATTTTATTTAAATAAATTTTTATAGTAAGTAGAAATTAGTAGTTTGGAGGAATTTATGCTAGAAATGTTTTTGAGGATCTAAAGTTCAAAAAAAAATTTGAGAAAAAGTTTTTAAAATTTTAGGTAAATCTCAAGTCCTTTTTTGTAATTTTTTTGTGCCTTTTCTTGTGATTTTCTCATGCTCTTTTTGTAATTTACCCAATTATTTTTTTAATCCGATTTGCTTCTTTTGTGCGAAGAAACAGAGCATCTCACTTCCTTATTTTCACCGCCAATATACACTCTTTTAGGCACTTATAGTCGGTTCATCTCTAGCTCTCCTCAAACATCTGAAGCTCACTGTCCTGGGGTGTTGACTTTTGCTGCTGTTGCATCGTCCACTCTCATCATGCTCGTCTGCATTCGCCAGCCACTGGGAGTTGATTTACTGATTCTCTTTCACTGATATCGTGCTGTTCTGTCTCAACGAGAGGCTGTCTTCGGATTGCTATTCTCGCTGCCATCTTCTTCCTCTCCTTGGTCTTTGTTCAGTTGTCACGATGGACAGGTTATGTGTCTTCCTTGTTTTTCTACTTTGTTTTGTGATGATGAGGGGGTGTATTATTGGTGGTCAGCTTCTATTCTCTTTTCTTCCATTCCTACTGTCATGTTCAGCATGTGTATATGCTAGCTAATGCTTTTAGTGTTGGCTGAAATTATAGTTCTTCCTTCTCGTGTGTGTTTGACAGATTGGAACCCTTATACTTTGTTCTTCTTTGATGCTGTTCAGTGGCTGACCATTGAGTTTTGTTAGGTGAGATGCTATTTTCTTTCTTTCCTCTTCAGATTATATAGCATCAATGAATCATTTCCTCCTTTCTTTGGTTGATTGATGTGGTCCCTGCTATTTGTTATTGATATGCTATCTATAGTTAGGACTGAAGTTGCTTGGCTGGAAACCATTTGGTTGTGTTGAATTGGGAAATAAGTAATGGAAATAGAAGTCTGGAAGTAGTTGGAATTTCTTGGTCATTCATTTCTAAAATTTTGTAAATGATAAATGCATACCTTCAAGGTATTTATAAAATTTTGGAAGAGAAGAATTTTACAAATTATGGCTTGTTAAGCTTCCATGTAATAACTTAAAGAAATATATTCAAGTTTTGGTTCAAGCTGTTAATTAAAACTTAAATACCAAAGTAGGGAAGAGAATTATTAGGATACTAGTTTCATTTTGTAAGTCTAGAGAAAGCTTAATAATGATTGATATGATTTATAATAATTCATGAAAGTATGAGTCATAAGAGGGTACGAGGACATATATATTGAGAATTATCAAATGATTGGATTAACTCAAGTGTACTTGCAGTGTAATTAGAATGGTATTGTTAATATTGACTAGATTAAATAGTGATAGCCATTAAGTACTTGGAATTTTTTTAAATGATTTAAATTTTGACTTATTTGTCAAGATATTGAGGGCATCATTAGAACAGAGGTTAAAAGTTAAGAAAAGCAAGTTTTAGAACCTTTAGGAAATACTCAGGTGAGTGCGTAGCATTCCAAATGAATTTCAAGAAATTGTTTATAAAAAAAATTTCTTTACTTAGATTTTAATACTATTCCTTTATTACTTATATAAATATTCTTATCAATTCTATTTTTTATATAATTATTTTATTAATGATGGTATCTTGATTTTACTAATGATTTATGCTATTGATAAGTAATAATTGATGTGGATACACGACAAACGGCATTACTTTTCAAAAACAACTCAATTGTTTAACTTTATGTTTGATATGCAAATTTTTAGTACAACAATTTGTGCATAGAGAAAATGACAAGGAATATGGGAACGGAATATGACAACCATATCCTACATTTTGAAAGTGAAAACTTTGAAATTGTTTTCAAATCTCTATGCATGCTTGATTTTAATTAGGGGGACTAAGTTTAAAATGCTGGATACTAATGACAATTTCGTTAGCCCTTGGCATGCCTTGGTTCACCTAGCTAGCAGGGTGTTGATAGGAGGTGCTAGCCCCGTGCAAAGGCCAATGCACGTGGATCAGAGGGATGATGTTCGTGAGTGCAATACTCATGCTTGTTTTCATGGGCTTCATGCCTGTGCTTCATTCGTGGCTTTTACCGCACTTGTTTTGTAGCTTCCAGCCGTGCTTGATTGGTTATTTATCCTTGTGGACTGTGTGTCCACGCTTGTTATTCATTTTGATAAAGCCCTCCTAGAACTAAATTAAAATTTATTATTTTTATCTTAGTTCTTTGAAAGGACCCTATCTAGTTGTTTTAGTATTTGAGATGATTACATTGCATGAGTTGTACAATTCTTGATAAATCTATATTGTTTTATTTGACTTGTTTGATTTTAGGATTTTATTGTTGAACAAGAATTGCTCTTGAGTTTTAGTTCAAGTATATGCTTCAATATTGGCGTTACTGTTTTAGACTAAATCTATTTATCCTATCTTTATAATTTTTATGTATAATTTTCAATAGAATGCTACTTACTAGAAATTTCTTTGGTCTTAGATATAGTAGCTAACCCTGCATCCCCAGCTGACCATTAAGAGTCATTCTTGCTTTTTGGAAAGAGGAAGCACAGGGTGATTATCCTTTTGGTGAAACCTTGTACTGTATTTTGTAAATTATAAGTTGTTGCTCCACATATATCATTGTTAGGTCTTAGTCTTATTTGGTTATTATGTGAATTGTTGGGATGCTGGTTTAGTTAGCAGATTCTATTATTGTTGTAGAAATTTCAGAAGGCCTAATGTATAAGGGAGACTCTGCCGAAATTTCTACAAAACACTTGAGATTTTACAAACTTTGTTATTATATATAACTTACATATATCAATATTTTAATGAAATTTCTGGTTATTAAGGCTTATGGAATATGAATTCTCCTTATATTTCATGTTGGTCATACCTTTGGCATCAGGGTGTGACCAGATGAAAGTGAAATGTGAAAAAAAAGTAAAATGTGAAAAATATTAAAAATATAAAGTAGAATTAAGCAAAGATATATAGAATGAAACAAAAAGTAAGAGTAATGAGCGAGAGAGCAAGGGAGCGAGAGCCTCCGGCGCTTACACAAGAAGAAAGAGATGCTCTTGATTGAAGTAGAAAAAGGTATCATATAGGCGACGGTGTTTTCTCAACTATTCAATCCCTTGTTCCAAGATAGGAGCCCTAGATGATAGATGAGGTGGATCTTGGAGAACATATGGATGAAGGGGAGAAGAGCAAGCGTCAGTGGCTAGTATGGGTGCTACCAAAGCTAGGAAATCTTAAAAACAAGTGTGTACAAATGGGAATAATGATACGGCTAAAGAAGAAGACTAGTGGAGTAATGATAGATGGAAATCAAGGATATTAGTGAAGATGACATCACATAGTCCTAATGTGATTATCCCACCTCAAGAGAAAGAAAGGCTAGCAAAGAAGTGGGAGAAGTCCCTGATAGTTAATCTATTGGGATGTATGATTAGCTTTAAGCACATAGAGAAAAAGCTTTCTCAAATGTGAGGAAGAAAAGGCAAAGTTGCTGTCATTGATATTAGCTTGGGTTTTTTTGTGGTGCAGTTTGAGAGTTCTGATAATTATGATCTAGCATTAACCAATGGTCTTGGCTTCTTTTTTATCATTACCTTGCTGTTCAACCATGAAAGGAGGACTTTGAACCCAAGGAGGGAAAGATTATGAAGACTGCTGCATGGATTCGAATAGCCAGTTTGCCCCTTGACTATTATGATAAAGGTATTTTATATGTGTTGAGGTCTTAGGTTGGATGAGTTTTGAAAATTGATATGACAACAATGAGAAGAAAAAAGGGAAGATTTGCAAGAATCTGCATTGAACTGGACCTTAGTTCATCTTTACAGCCTATTATTCTTGTGAATAGGAAGGAGAAGAAAGTTTAATATAAGGGCATCCATTTGATATGCTTTAATTATAGGAAATATGGCCACGATGTTGCTCACTATCTAGGGCATACATAGAAACCCAAAGAGAGATCACAGAGAGAAGTTATAGTGTCAAATAATAAGACTCAAGAGGGGGCGATAGATACGACTAAGGGTTGTAATTTTGCTGTGTATGACAAGTCTAAGAAGGAGCTGGAAGCTGATTTAGAGGTACAGTATGATGCTTGGATGCTGGTTTAGAGGAGTAAGAGGTTCTAATATGGTGGCCAGCTCGAGGGTCAAGAGATAGAGCATAAGCATGATTCAAGGGAGAGATTGCAAGTCGATGTCCGCAAGTCTCGCTATTCATTATTAGAGATTGAGCAAGCAAATATTGTGAAAATCCTGAGGAAGGTGGAGTAGATAATGCCATTACATGATATCACTAATAAAAAGACTGATGTGGCGAATGCTATTTATAGAAATGAGTAACAGATTGGGCATAAGAAAAGAAATGAGATGGGCCGAAATATAAGAGTCATCATAAGAAGCTAAAACATATGCCCAATAGGTCAGAACACAAAGAGCACAATTTAATTGGGATAGAAATTCTTAATAAAGCTAGAAAAAGATTGGGTTTGGATAAATGGGAAAAACAAATTAGCAATAATACATTAAAACGTGAGAAGGACTGAATGGACCTGACGGACTCCAATTTTGAGCAAATCACTGAAGAAGTCATAGATGATGTGGTTAAGGGTGATATGATGGTGGATGACAACCCTCTAGACCCTGATACAGATTATCATAATGAATTTCTTATTTCGTTCAAACCCATTATCTAATGGTCAAAATGAAGAGGCAATAATTTACATGGAGGAACATAAAGGACGTCTAGGTTTGCATATTTGATTGTGCTCTTTGTTACTTTCATTTTAGTTATTTTTTATGGATAATAGGTATAAAAATACTATTCTCTTTTGAAATGTACATAGGGTTGGTAGTAGAAGCTTCCCAAATCTACTACTAGAATTACATAAGAAGTATAAGTTTGATTTTGTTTAGCTCTTTTGGAAACAAGACATGATAGTTTGAAAGCCTAGTTTCTTACACGGTGGGTGGGGTTGATGAACTTTGAGTGTATTGAAGTTGATGGTTATAGTGGCGGCATATGGTGTTTTTGGGGAAACAAGACTAAATTTTAGGTCAGAGGGAAATATGAGCAAGTTCTTCACAATTGTTTTAATGCTGATACTAGTAATGAATGGGATCTGTCTATTGTATATGGTCATCCCTACTATACTAGAAGACATTCTTTATGGCAAAGTCTTCATAGTATAGAGGATAAGGGAGTTCGTGAGTAGTACATAGGGAAGATTTTAATACGGCTATGAAGGAAGAGGTGAGGATTTCTTTAATATCAAGGCTAGTTAAACCTAATCGCCTTTTCAAGGATTGGGTCACTGAGACTAGGGTTTTTGACTTGGGATTCCAAAGACTGAGATTTACGAGGAGCAATGGCAAAGCTAGAAGTAGACTGTTCAGAGTTCTCATTAATGCTTAATGGTTTAAGAATTTTTTAGATGCCTCGGTTATGCATTTACCTAAGGTGAAATTAGATCATTGTCCATTACTTTTAAAACTGTATAATAATGTGGTAGAAAGGAGAAAGAAAAAGGATTTTTTAATTCTTTTCTTCGTGGGTCACGCATCACGGATTTAAAACTCTTGTAGAAGGCTCTTGGTGTGTGTCTCAGGACTGGAAAATGAATGTGGCCAGATTTGTTACCAATGTCTTGGATTGGAATAAACATGATTTTGGAGATATAAATAAAAAAAAAAAGGCAGACTTACTTTATCAATTGGAGGCTATTATTCGTAAAATGAATTACTAGCTAAACCTGACAAGGTTAGAGGAGGAATGTGTTGTTTTATCGAATAAGCTAGAAAGTATTCTAGTTCAAGAAGAAATGATGTGGCTACAAAAATCTAGATGTAGTTGGTATTCTTAAGGAGATAAATATACTAGATACTTTCAGACTATGACTAAATGTCGTAAGTGAAGAAAGCATGTTGAAGCACTTAAAGCGGATGATGAGGAGTGGATTTATGATTGTGATGCTATTAAAAGGATGGGAACTAATTGTTTTACAAAACTTTATACTGAAGAAAGTAGATCTCAGAATGACATTTTATTTAGTGAAGGTTTTCCTATTATCCCATATTCTACATTAGAAATATTGGGAAAAGAAATATCTTTTCAAGAAGTAAAGGATGCTTTATTTGATATGGGTCCTTTGAAAGCCCCAGGTCCTGATTGGTTAAACCCTCTCTTTTTTCAAAATCAATGGGATGTGGTGGGTAACTCTATAATTAAGCTTGTTCAGCAAGTTCTTCGATATCCTAAAATGGTGAAGGAAGTTAATGATACTAATATTGTGCTCATTTTAAAACTTAATAACCCTGAGACTATGAAAGATTTTAGACCTATTAGTCTCTGCAATGTGGTGTATAAGGCTGTCACAAAACATCTAGTTACGACCTATATCTCTAATATAGTCATATAAATTCAAAAAACAAAGACTAAGATTTTTTTTTAAATAAATTCGGCAAAGTCTCCACTAAAAGAAGAACGTCCTAAATAATTAAACAATCAAATCCTACAACACAATACATTTAAACTAAATATATCAATTCATCCAAATAAAAATTTACTAGCATAATGAATCAAAATTCTATCAATCAAATTTAATTTACAACAACCTCCCTTAAAATTGAAACCTTCTAAAGGAAAAAAATAAAACATATTATAAATAAAATAAAAAAATTCAGATAGTTTCCTCTGCAATATCAATCTTCTATTCACCATAATTTAATACATTCAAAAGTAAGCTAAACTAAGATAAGAGAATTACAATAATGAAATTAACAACCTCAAATCTCAACATAAATAATTTAAATATTAGATTTTCTATATATTTTTATATATAAATTACTAAAAAATACCTTTAAGTGATAGAGCTGATGACAATGTAGGACAGCACAACAAGGAAGACGACTGAGGTGACAAATAACATGGGTTGAGAGGTGATGAATGACGCAAGTTGAGAGATGACGGATAATGAATAGCAACATACTGAACTTCAAACGGCCTGTCGAACGACAATATTGGATAAACGATGGACTGAGACAGATAATGGCATGGGATGCAAGATGGCATTAGACAGACGATGGCATGGGACGTGACTTTGAATGATGAACTCTTGAATAGTTCATTCCTCGATGCTCTCAAAAAAAAAAAAGAACCAATGTGCCCTTCTGATCTCAAAAGAAACTTAAGTAAAACAAATAAAGTTAAAAAAAAATAGGGCCTTCTGGAGTGCTCTTTTTAAGAGCACTCCTGAAGGCCAACCTTCAAAAGGTTCATGATTCAGGAGCACTCACATAAGAGCTCTCTTGAAGGCTGGCCTTCAGGAGTGCTTATTGATGAGCACTCCGAAATAATATGCCTTTCGGAGCACTTTTCGAAAGGCATTATATTTAGGAGCACTCTTAGACTCAATTTTTTTTTTAAATTTTACTATTTTAAAATTTTTAAGAGCCCACATTTATGGAGTGCTTTAGAAGACCTAACATATAGGAGTGCTTTTTAGAAAAATCATTTCAATAAATTCTGCCTTAACCTATAAGAGCACCTTTTAAGAAAACACTCCTAAAGAGCCACTTTGGAACATGTATTTTGTAGTAGTGTACTTTATGACTCAATAATTTCATGCTATATGTCTAATATACGATCATGGGATTTATTTGTGAGATCTTGAGATCCAACTATGATCTCATCGACTCCTTTTTAAATCTATTATGACCCGTGTGACCTACTAATTGCAATATTTCTCTAAGAGACTAAACACCTAAGATAAAGTTGTTAAATAAATTGACCTCTAATTAATCTAACAACTATAGTGAATATTCTCCAAGACTAATCTTAGATGCCATTATTGCTATACTAGGCTATACGTGCCATTATTGCTATACTAGGCTATACACCTATTCCTTCTGGCCTATCTTGGATTCTTCTAAACCTTAACTAACTCATTTCTTAGCTCATCATTATTCCATAATTTTTTTTTTGCCAGAGAATTTTCCATTATTACTAAATGTATTTATACTTTGGCTCTAGAAAGTTTTTTATTTTTGATAGAGTCCTTGAGGGCCATTCTAACTTTAATTTTTGGGTACTTTTATAACTCTTACTTAACTAGATTCAATATCCTACTTAATTTGGGCTTACTCTTGAACTTCTAGGCTCAAAATACGGATAGTTACTTCAACCACGTTTTGCAACCCATATCTTTGTTTTAATAAGGGCATTGCCAGAATGTCTACTCTAATACCAAAGTTTCACATTCTCACAATGGTATTTTAGTTATTAAATATTAAAATATTATTATTTTAATAAGATATTATTTAAATAAAATTAACTAATATTTTTTAATTACTCACTAATGTTGTGTTTAACAAAGGTTAATCACCCAACAAATAGTTAAAATAACTTGTCAAAATGATATTTTGGTTTCTTTTTTTTTTTTCACATGAGTAAGACATAATATCATCAGTCTCTTTGTATTTTTTTATAATTTTGGAAACTTAATCAACATTAATTTTTCTTATAAGCTAGGGACTTATTTATAATTTTTTGAGATTTTTTCTAAATTTTTTCCTATCAAACTAATAGTTAAAATAATGGATGTTTAATGGAGGGAATATTCCATCCTTCTCAATACTTGATGAATGATATTGTCTCGCCCTAAGGTGACCTTTGGGGGGGGGGGGGAGTTAAAAATGCACCTTACTCCTAATACTTTCTTATTAATTTGGACTTGTCATTACTCATGCTCTTTGGAGACCCTAGTAGTTAAATTAAAGTCACAACTTATCACTTGCTAAAAACAACTTTTTGGAGAGTCTTAATAGGACTAGTTGAAACAAAAGGACACTCTTAAGAATCCATAATTGATCCGTGTGGCTGTGCAATGTGATTGGTGATGGTGGCTATATCTTAAGCATAGCGACTTTATTCCCTATGCATGTATGCAAAGAAATTGCATACTTAGAACCGTTAACTAATTGTCATGTATTCGTATAATTGTATTCATCACATGGAATAAATCTAACATGTTTTAGTGATTAATTCATTTCTCATGTTGGGAAAAAAAAACAGAGTTATTTCTCATGGTAACCAACACTTCAAATTGTCTCATATCCGTATTGGTATCATGTCCAATGCTAATACTTCTTTGATATGTATCAATAGAGTATTGAAATATAATTTTTTAATTTTTTAATTTTTTAGTTTTGATATGTACATAATACTTTTAGATTGCAAGTAAGTACTTTAAAAACAATGCTATATTTTTAAGAAATTAAATTTTGTTAAATATTGTGATATTACTTTTTTTAATTCCTAATATTTTTTGTGATTTGCTTTTAAAATAAAAAATTCATTCTCCTTAAAAAATAAGTTTTGAATATAATAAAAACATAAAAATTACATTTTTTTAATTATAAAAATTTATGAATATAATCTTTTGGCATTTAAACCCGGTGAGGAATTATTAGCTAGCAAAGGTTAGGAGATAGGCAATTAGGTATAGATAAAATAAAAGTACAAGTAATGATTATGTTTAACTTGATATTATTTTATAGGACTCTATATGCTTTTTTATATATTTTGTAAATTAAAATTATATTTTTTACGTTTTTTATTATTTTTTATAAATATATATATATATATATATGCACATAACAAAAACATATCATATCCTATCTTTTTTAAAATGAAAGTATTGAAATGTCGGATACATATCATATCTGATATTCCTTGGCAATATGTGCAAGCTATTTGTAAAAGCCCTTTGGTAAGATAGAATCGAGGGAGAAATCAAGGAATAAAATAATTAATTCCATCTTTTACAAAAAGAGTAGTTATCCCTTGATTCTGAATCAATGATTTCTTTTCCACATTATAGCCATCCCAGTGATAAGTGGAGGGAGGGAGGGAGGGAGGGATGTATGGAGTCTGGATGAATGTCCTGGTCTTAGTAAGTTCTTGAAACCCAATTAACTCACATAAATGTTTTGTTATCACACACACATACGCGCGCGCAGAGTGATGTCTAAATTCACAGAATTTCAATAGTCTTATTCTAAAGGCAAGTATAATTGTGACATTAGAATAGGCATGCATTGACTTGAATATTAGAATGTATGGAAAAAGCATAAATACTTTTTAGAAAATACATTTTTACCTACCAAACTTTGAATAGTATTGCCACACAATTTTCCTAGTCTCTCAGTTTCTTTTTCTTTGATCAAGGGTGGGCTGTCCATCATGAAGATATCCACAACTAATGGAGCCCACCTGGTTGGAGCCATCACCTGTGTGAGTTTCATTGTGTATTTCTCATAGGAAAAGTTGCTCCTAGTTGAGGTTTGGTCAAAGTCTCTCCTATAATTCAATGGACTTACATTAGAATAGGCATACATTGACTTGAATATTAGAATGTGTGGAAAAAGCATAAACACTTTTTAGAAAATACTTTTTAACCTACCAAACTTTGAATAATATTGCCACCCAATTTTCCTAGTCACTCAATTTCTTTTTCTTTGATCAAGGGTGGGCTGTCCATCATGAAGATATTCACAACTAATGGAGCCCACCTAGTGGAGCCATCACCTAGGTGAGTTTCATTGTGTATTTCTCGTAGGAAAAGTTGCCCCTAGTTGAGGTTTGGTCAAAGTCTCTCCTAGGATTCGATGGACTTAACATTCCAACTTATAACACTGGTGATTGGTGCAAGTTTAAGGTTCAAGGAAATAGAGTTTCACCTTAATTAACAATTATAACTCCTAAAGTTTCGTTTGTAAATTCTTGATGTTTCAGTTGTAAAAGTTACTTGATATTTTTCAAGGGTCCTTGATTATCATTCTCCCTATTTTTTTCTTTGTTTTTTAATTTTTTTAGGTGAACAATTAGCTCCTTTCAACTTTCATTTTTTTCTTTGACCTTGAAAATTATGATAATAACGTGCAGATGAGAATGAGAAGTATAGATATACAGCTTCACCAAAATCATATTTCATTAAAATTTTGTAAATTTAAATATAATTTAGTTGATCTTCTATGATTTTAGGATGTAAGTGTCATTTCCCTATAGACTTTGTTTATAAAAATATGAAAATTTAATAACTTCATTTAAAAATTTTATTACTTGATGTGATCTCTCAAACAATAATCTGCTGCTGTGAATAGTGACAAATATAAATTTTGAAATAGGGACAGAGTTACCTCGAGAATGAAAAATTCTAAACAACATTATTATTCAAGACCCCACCACCATTCCTTCTCCAATGTGAAATTTCATTGATGAATGTGACTTACAAGTGCCTTTCTGTTTTTTCCACAAACTTATCTTTCTTATTTCTCAATTGTCTAAGCCAAGAATTTTTTTGTTTTTGGATAACTTGTTTAAGTTAAGCTTTTGATAGGCTTTTGTTTTATAATTTATTTAAAATTTTGGATTCAATACTAATTAGTCATCAACTTATTATCATCTCAAGTGTAATTAATAAAAAAACCAGAGAGAATTGCATTTAAGGACCTGTGAATAATGTTATTCTCAAACAAGGATCATTAACAGGTCACCAGTCGAGAAAAAAATAGGTCTAAGTTTCCATTTTAACAATAATCTATTTCACATTGATTTTTGTTTGTGAATATATAGGAATGCAATTTTCCAGGGAAAAAAAAGAACGCAAGTTTTCTACATATATTGGCATTAAATCAACGGTGCCAATTTAATTATAGGGAAATTTGAATGGGATCTACTTTATAAGTTTTTTGGGTCAAGTAAATTCACCAATATTCTAACATTTCCTTCTATTTTTTTCCACTACAAAACAGCTTTTGCATATTATTTTGTTCATATAAGTAGCTATTATAGGTTACAATAATTAATTGCATTGTTATCATTACTGATAACCTTAAAGCTGATCAGCCATCACTCTCAAAAGCTTATATATAGTGAAGCTTTCTTCTTTTTCTTCAACCTAAGAAGCTCTGCGCCAATTCAACTTGGGAAACCTTTGCTTTCATTTCTCCTCCATTTTCTCCATGCTTTGTCTCATGGTTTGCCAATCTTTATGCCATTTCAATTTTACCCTCAATGGATTGGCAGTTCTTGCTTTCAGATCTTCTATTAGAGACCTTTACAATCACTTGAAGAATTGGTTCAACTCATCATCTTCCTACTGCAAGTGGTTTAGAGTCACATGTGATTCTAACAATGAGAGAGTAAGAATCCTAAGTCTTCCTGAGATGGGTCTTGAGGGCACCTTACCCTCAAAATTGGAAATCTATCCTTCTTAGAAAAACTTGAACTACAAAGCAACAACTTTCATGGTGGGCTGCCAAAAGAGTTGCTTCAATTGCACAAATTGAAAATTCTAAACTTGAGTTATAATACTTTTAGCAGAGAAATTCCGATTTGGATTGGAAGCTTGTTTATGCTTCAACACTTGAATCTTGGCAATAATAGTTTTGGAGGTCTCATTCCTCTAAGCATATGGAATTTGTCTAAGTTGGAGACCTTGAATTTGAAGTCTAATTCTATCAATGGATCTATTCCGGTGGATATTGGAAGACTTCAACACTTGAAATTTTTAAGCATTTCTCGAAACATGCTTTTAGGAAGTATACCTCCAATTATCTCTAACTTATCATCACTTGAGCACATCTCTTTGTCTGTCAACTTCTTAGAAGGTATGTCTTGTATAATATATATGTGATTATATAAACATTTATTCTATTTCAAAATTGAAGAATTTATCATTTTTTTGGTAATTGTTTATATTAGTCTTATATTTGATGTCAATCTAACTTGGGGTATGCTATTTACTATGTCTTTTCAAAGTTAGACCTTGAACCGAAAACATTTTACAATTACATGAAACACATTAACTATATAATTAAGCTATCATCACCGGAATAAATTTCAGTATTCTTTAAAAATTATTCCTTGAATGAGTTATCTCTGACAACAAATATTTTTGTTTAAGTAGACAATTTAAATAAATGTTAGTGGGAATTCTCTTTCAGCGACGCACTTTTTTTTTTATGCTATAATTTTTGGAATTCCTTTTCTACTCTTCAATTGTCCTAAGTTGATGCATGTATTATTGTATATGTTTATATTATTTTCTGGTTGGTAATATTGACTAGAGATCAAATTATTGAATACATGTATGAGATACAACAATAATGCATTCCCAGAATTATATGTCTTACTCTTTTGTTTAATATTATTTTTTATACAAGCACTCGCGAAAAAAATACAAGTTTATTTTGTGGCCATATTGTAGGACATATTCTCAAAGAAATGAATAAGCTTACAAATCTGAAAAATATGTACATGGGTATGAATAAGTTGTCTTGCCAAATACCAAGCATTGGAAATTTGATCATGCTTGAAAATTTATATCTTGCAGGCAATAACCTCCAAGGTACATTTTTAACAAATCATAGCTTTTTTTAACTATTGTTTGCTTTTATTTTTTGGACAATTACATCCTGTGGAGCAGACTTATTTACAAATAAGTCCCACATAATTTAGAAACTACAGCCATATCCCCTGAGATTTGAGTGTAATTTGAAATTAAGTTGAAGTAATAATTGTAAATTATTAATGAAATAGTTGTAAAAAATTAATCTTGAACTTTGTTGGTAACATATGATCAGTTTAACTATTAGATATGTGAAATCATAGTTGTAAAATATTGATATGATAATTGTAAATTACTAATAAGGTATTGCATATAATTAGTATTAAACTTATCATGCATGATCAGTTTAATTATTGGATATGTGAAATTACAGTTGTAAAAAGTTAAAGTAATAGTTATAAATTATTAATGATGTAATTGTAAATTACTCAATTGATGTAATATATTTTTAATAGAAATATTATTGTCTTTGCACCCTAGTTTCAAATTATACTTAAGTCCCAAGGGGCCTAGCTATAATTTTTTAATTTTACGGGACTTATTTGAAAATAAGTCTGCTCTATAAGACCTATACATAAATTTTCCTTTATTTTTTAATGGGAATCATTATAAACAACTTTTTTGAGTGACCATAATTTTTGGAGAAGCATCCCTTCAAATATATGTCAAATTGACGATTTCAATGGTTACATTTAGGAGGCAACACATTTTCATAAATCTATACTACAAAATAAATCAAGGACCCATTTGTTTATGATGAAAAAATAAGTGAGGTTTATATCATTCAGATTTTTTTTTTGAAAAAAGTGATATATGCTGTAGATATTTTATGAAAAGCATATATTATTTTATGTTTGATAATAGTAATAAAAAGTGATTGTTATTTAGTTATTTTTAAATTTTATGATATCTTCATAGATCTCTATTCATAAAAAAATTATTATTTAGTCATTTTAAATGGGCAAGACTTACGTATTTGGCCTTATACACTTAACGTATAGTACTTAAATCCAATCAAATCAAAACAAGTGAAATTTAATGTGTTAGTGATATTAATAACAAAAAACTATTTTAGAATAAATAATCTATAAACGATACACATCTCTTCATATAACTGGAAGCAACCACCATAACATATAATGCTAAGTATATAAAATTTTCCCTTTTTGAAAACTATTCAAAGTAGCTTTTCAAATTAGTCAGAACTTAGAAATATGTTTTTTTAATTTTTATTATTTTCAAAAGTTTAAGCAAATATCATAAAATTTCACAAAATAATTTTTCATAAAAAATAAGTGATCATCACGTAAAAGGAAGATCAAACAAATGGACCCCAAATTAAATCTCCAACTTTAATTTCATAACTTCTTTTTTACAAGGATTCTTAAAAATCATAAAACAAATTCATAGGATTTCATTTTATTTTAGGTTTTTAAATTAAAATTATTCTTTGTAAATTATTAAACCAAGTATATATATATATATATTCAACAGACTATATCAAATTTGTTTCCAAAAAACAAAAGTAAAATTGTGGGAGGTGAGACGTGTGGAATTAGCAATCAAAATAGAGTTACTTTTTTTTTTGTTTTGTTTACCACATTGCAAAAGGAAGTATTTCTTTACAACAAACATAGAGATTCTCTCAAATCCAAAATTTATAAACACAGATGATGAAAATAAGTTTCTGAGCATTAATTAACCTTAAACAGATATAGTGAATATATACATATACTCAAGGAATTGAAAAATTGACTATTATTTTATTTTATTATTTAGATTACGATCCAAAGCTTTCACAACTTGTACTACAAATTTAACAGACTTTATCAAATATTCACCAACTTAAATTTATTAATTAAAAATGTATTTCAACTGCACATTATACTTTGGGATTGGCACGTAGCAATTCAAAACCATATATAATTAATGGGAATTATCCTTTATTATTATTTAAACAAGCTTCTTATTATTTAAGGTAATTTTTATGAAAAGTAAAACAAAAAATATCGCTACCCCATATTAAACTTGTTAATTTATCAAGAAATATAATTCATCAAAATAAAAAATAAAAACTAGGCTAATATAGACTAAATTGTTTTCAAAACATGGAACAATATATATATATATATATATATCATAATTTTATGGATGATTTTAAGTGTTTGCTCATCTTTTGAATATATAAATCTATATATGAGGACAATCATGCTTTTTAGACATATATAAGCTTATTTTCATTTAGACCACTAACTTTAAAACACAAAATAACTTGAAATAACATAGAAAGTATGCGTTACCACAAACTTAAGTGTTGCTCTTTTTACTTACAATGATGCATAGTTATTATTATTATTTTTTTGTTTGCAGGAAATATTCCCAATGAAATTATAAGTCTTGCAAATCTGAAGATGATGAGCCTAAGGGTTAATCAGCTATCTGGCCCCATACCAAGAGGCATTGGAAACTTGACTGTGCTTCAACAGTTGTATCTTGATACCAATAATTTAGAAGGTACATTTTCACCAAATTATAATGTACTACAATCATTTTCTTTTAACGTGATATTTTATACTATATAATGAATTCTTAATTTTTTCTTGGAATCATGCATTTTCATTCCCCTCATGATTTTCAACTTCTCTCCAAACCTCTCCCAGTCTATTCTTTTCCTGTTTAGATCTGATTCTTGAACTGGTGAATCAACCAACCAACATGCTTTTCATGTTCCCCCAATTTGTTGACAATTTTTTACTAGTTCACTACACATAAGATTTAATGATTTATGCTAGACTTGACCACAGGCTTGTTCACATCGACTAGTATGTACCAATTGTTAAAACCATGATGTAACAGACTATTTAAGTTTGTAATAGTATAAATTAAAAATAATTTTAGAAGCTCAGGACAGCAAACTAAAAAATCATCATCCACCACTAAAAAAATACCTATAAGAGCGTTTATTTTAGACATAAAAAATGTGAAATTATGTGACAAAATTGTGACCACTAAATTAGTGACGGATCAAAGCATACTAAGTTTGTTGCAAAGGCCCCAATCCATCACAAATTTGTCCAAAATTTTATGTTTAAGTAGTGGGTAAATCTAAGTAGTTAGATATTTATAATTTTTTTATATTTTAATATTAACTTTCGTTGATACTTCAATTAATATTTGTATTATAGGATAAATACCTATGAAAATTGGTAATCTTCAATAGCTTGAGATATTAGAATTGTCTCAAAACAAATTGAGGGTTTATTCCATCAGAAATTTTCAACATGTCAACTTTGGAGGTCTTGTCTCTCTCAAACAATTCTCTATCAGGAAGTCTTCCATTAAATTTTGGATTTGGCCTTTCTAATCTACAAATGCTTTATTTATGGGGCAACAATCTTTTTGACAAAATCCCAAATACTATATCCAATGATTCTAAGCTAACCAAACTACAATTGCAAAACAATAATTTTGAAGGGATTTTACTAAACACACTTGGGCATTTAAGATACTTAGAAACCTTTTTGGAAAGTGATAATAATTTTACCATTATAGATACTTCCAATTCTGAAACTAGCTTTTTCAACTCATTGTCAAATTGCAGATATTTGAAAAGTTTGATTCTCTCAACGAATCCATTGCATATGAAACATCTCAAGTCCTACTTGTCTAATTCTCTATAGGTGCTACTTGTAGACTTGTGCAAGATTAATGATAACATACCATCAGAAATTGGGAATCTATCTAACTTGTTCCAGCTATCACTAGTTGAAAATTTTTTAAATGGATCAATACCAAAAGCAATTAGCAATATACAAGCTCTTCAATATTTGAATCTTGAAGGCAATGAGCTAGGTGGCTTGATTGTTGATGAGCTTTGTGAAGTTAGAAGACTTGCATATATATATATTTATCTCGAAACAAGTTTTCTGGAGCAATTCCACTTTGTTTAGGAAAGCTTATGTCTTGCAAAAACTTTACTTGGACTCCAATAAGTTGATTTTTGAGATACCTTCTTCCTTTTGGAATCTAATTGGTATATTGGAAGTAAACCTATCTTCCAATGTTTTAGTTGGAAATCTATCATTCAAGATGGGCAACTTAATAGCACTTATATCATTAGATTTGTCAAGAAATCGTATATCAAGCATCATTCCATTAGCCATAGGTGGCTTGCAAAATTTGTAAACTCTCTCATTGGCACATAACAAATTGCATGGGAAGATTCCTGAATCACTTAGGAATTTGCTAAGCTTAGTGAAGTTAGACCTTCTCCAAAATGAATTATTTGGTGAGATTCCTAATCTCTAGACTCACTTATATCCCTTGTGTATGTCAATCTCTCTTTTAATGAACTACAGGGTGAGATTTCAAGTGGCAGAGTCTTCAAAAGTTTAACATTTGAATCTTTCATGATGAATAAAGCACTTTATGGTGAGCCACCAATGCAAGTGCCTCCATGCAAAAAAGGAACAAGCAAAAGGTCAATAGAGAAATTATTTTGTTGAAATGTGTACTGCCAATGGCTTTGTCAACAACTTCAATTTCTCCAACATTGTCCTCTTTCAACAAAAAGTGAATAAATTCTAGGCATCCATTAAAAAAGTTTTATCTACTTTAAGAATGCCAAGAAAGATTTCTTATTTTGAAATTTTGGATGCAACTCTTGGATTTCATGAGAGTAACTTACTTGGAAGGGGAAGTTTTGGTTTTGTGTTCAAAGGAAAACTTTCAAGTGGAATAATGGTTGCTGTTAAAATATTCAATTTTGACTCAGAAGAATTGTCAAGGAGCTTTGAGGTAGAATGCGACGCAATGCGTGATTTGTGCCATCCAAATCTAGTGAAGATCATTAGTAGTTGTTTCAATGCCAATTTGAAGTGTTTGATAATGGAGTTCATTCCTAATAGAAGCCTTAAAAAATGGTTATATTTTGATAACTATCATTTAGATTTTCTACTAAAGTTGAATATAATGATAAAAGTAGCATTTGCTTTATAATATCTTCATCATGACTTGTCAACACCAGTAGTCCATTGTGATTTGAAACCAAGTAACATTTTGTTGGATGATAATATGGTTACCCATGTGCGTGACCTTGGAATTGCCAAATTTTTAGATAAAGGGAAATCTAAGACATCATCGAGACAATATCTACAATCAGTTATATTGCACCAGGTAATCAACTTAAATCTTTATTATTCTTCTTTTACAAAACCCCATTTAAATTGGAGTTACTACAGTAAGGTACATATGTTGTCTCATTTTTTAGATTAACACATTGAATGAAATTAGAGAAAAAATAAATTAGTCATTATTTATGTGAAATGATGCACTTGTTAACAAAACATTTTGTTTTTATACATGAGAAGTTGAATTGATGAACTACAGCACATTATTAAAGTTATTAGTGTAAAATAATCGCAATTGAGTCTAATTTCCCTAATTCTTATACAAAACTTTTATGGTTATTTCCTTACAATTTTGATGGCTTTTTTTATATTAAAAAAAGAACTATACTTTTTTTAACTAATTTAGTATACTTATGATTAATTCTTTGTTTTACTTTCAAACATGAATGTGATGGTGTGTTTTAATGTATGTCATTGTGTTCGGCCAAAAAAAAATGTATGTGGGCTCATGCTCATCAATGTAGTACCTAGTTTTAATATAGTGTATATAACAATTTGAGATATATATATTCCTGTCAAAAATATATCCCATATATTATATTTGAGGAGAATGTTTTCTGACAGTTTTTATGTTCTAAAAACCATACATTTAAAGTACTATTTGATTGTCATTTTAAACCTATAATATATATATATATATATATCCAAGAAATTCTAAAGAATGCTTCAAGAAATGTAAAGGAATTTGTGCTATTAGTTAGTTATTATTTTACTTGCTATATCATATATAAGTTACTTGATATTTGACTTTGGTTGAATTAAATTATATCATATGCAGAAAATGGACTTGTTGGAATTGTTTCAACAAAAGTTGATGTGTATAGTTATGCAATAATACTAATGGAAGTGTTCACAAGGAAAAAGCCAACAAAAGGTATGTTTGTCAATGGATTAAACTTAAAGACTTGGATAAGCGAATCAATGTCACATGCATTGATTCAAGTCATGGATTCCAATTTATTACAAGGAGATGAACAATATGTTGGTAATATTTTGACAACTACATCCACTATTTTTAAATTAGCCTTGACTTGCTGCTCCAATTCTCCAACAGGCCGTTGCAATATATTAGATGTTGGAGCATCATTGGACAGGATTGAGGACCTATTTATGCAAAGAAGTCAAGTTAAAAATAATTAATATTAAATCTATTTTGCAATTGGTGTTATTGTCTATCCTTCATTCCTTGACTATCCCTAAAGAAAGGGTGATCTGACGATATGTGTCACACCCCAAAACTAAGGGTATGATCGGCATGGAATATGAAGTAAACACACATTCCATAAGCCTTGACTGACTAGAAATTGAGCTAAAATAGTGATATGTGCAAGTTATATATAATAGTAAAGTTCGTAAAGTTTTAAAGTTTTTGTCAAAATTTTAGCAGAATCTCCCCTATAATTTGGACCTCCCGAAATTTCTACAATAACAACAAAACCTGCCAACCAGACTGACAAGGAGACTAGCTCCATTCCTACAATTTTTACAATAACAAAATAAGACTAGGATCTAACTATGGTGTACATGGAGCACTAAAATTATAATTACAAAATACAGTACCTAGTTTACCAAAACAGTAATTGCAATATGCCTCCTCCTTTTTTTCTGAGAAAAAACAAAAAGGCCCTCAATGATCTACTGGAGGTGTAGGGTCAGCTACAATATCTGGGACAAAATGAATTACCGGTGAGTAGTGTTCCAATCAAAATTATAAGTAAGAAAATATGAAGATAATAAATTTAGCTTCAAATGACTTAATGAAATAATGAATTACATCCTTTGGCTAGAAACAAATAAAGATTTTTCCCAATAATATGATCTTGAGATTAAACAATGCTAATAAGATCACATACATGTTAAATTTTATATTAACCATAAATATAAAATTTTCCAATGACAGTGTAGTGCAATAAAGTACTTTTAAAGAATTATTAGAGAAATGATAAATTTTTAGCTTAAAATTAGGAGGGCTTATCAGAACGAATAACAAGTGTGGACACACAGTCCATGAGGGTAAATAACCAATCAAGCATGGACACACAGTCCACAAGGGTAAGTAACCAATCAAGTGTGGCTAGAAGTCACGACACAAGCGCGGCAAGAGCCATGAATTAAGTGCAGGCATGAAGCCCATGAAAACAAGCGTGAGTACAGTGCTCACGAATACCATCCCTCTGATCCACGTGCGTTGGCCTTCGCACAAGGCTAGCAACTCCCGTAAGCACCCTGCTAGCTAGGTGTACCATGGCATGCCAAGGGCTAACGGAACTGCTATTAGCATCCAGCGTTCTGAACTCAGTCCCCCTAATTAAAATCAAGCTTGCACAGAGTTGAAAAACAATTTCAAAATTTTCACTTTCAAAATATATGATTCAGTTGTCATCTTCCATTCCCATATTCATTGTCATTTCCTACATGCACAAGTTGTTGTACTAAACTTTTCATATCAAACATAAAGTTAAACAATTGGGTTGTTTTTGAAAAGTAACACTGTTTGTCGTATATCAACTTTAATTATTACTTATCAATAACATAAATCATTAGTAAAATCAAGACATCATCATTACTAAAATAATTATTAAAAAATAGAATTGACAAGAATGTTTATATAACTAATACATAAATAGAATTAAAATTTAAGTAAAGGAATTTTTATAAACAATTGCTTGAAATTCATTCAGAACACTACCCACTCACCTGATAGTTTTTCCAAAATTCTAAAACATGCTCCTCTTAATCTTTCACTTTAATTCTAATGGTATTCCTGATTTCCTAACAAACGAATCATAATTCTAAAATCATTTGTCAAGAAACTTTTCAATCACTATTTGTGCATTAAAGTTCAATCCAAATGATATTAACGAGAATATTCCAACAAATTATGTTTTAAATATACTTAAGTCAATTAAATCATTTGACAACTTCCATTTATCCTCATAATTTCTTATGGCTTATACTCATTCATAAATCATAATAAACCATATCCATTATTCTTAAGCTTCCTTTGACTAAAAATGTGAAACAAGTATTGTATATAATCATTTCTCCCATTTTGGTGTTTTAAAATTTTCAATCAACAACTTGAACTAAACTGATAGATACTTTTTCAAGCGAATCTGAACAACTCACAATTCACCAAATTTTCCTATCCCACATTTTTACAAATACTTTGAGAGCATGTATTTATCATTGACAAATTTATAAGATAATTACCCATGCATTTCAACAACTTTCTTTCCCTCCATATCTTCTTTCTAATATAACTACAAACACATTGAGGGCATTTTCCAATAATTAAGTTATGAAATGAACACATCCAAGTAAGTTCTACAACTCCCAACATCAAATTCTACGGTTAAAGATCAGCTCAACATCATTATAAACCATTCCCAGCATCAACTGAATTTTCTCCTTACACTCAACTAAAATATTACAACCACAATGAAGAACAAAAACTGCACCCAACGGCTGGAAAAAGACGGAATGATTTAGTGGGCTATATAATCCGAAGAGAAAGGAAAGAACACAACATCTTACCTCAACAAAGCTCAGTGGCAACAAACATAAATTAGCCACTGCACAGCGTCGAAGGAGAAAAGCTAAGGGTTTCAATCTATCATACACACGAGAAGAACGAGACTATAATTTCAACCAACAATAAAAGAATCATCTACCACATGCACACACGCTGGATTTCGACATAAGGCAAGGAAGAAAAGAAAAAAAAAAAACTAACCCCTGAATATGCACCTCGGTTAAGCACAAAACAGAGCAACAAAAACTATTCATCCTTTCCACCTGACAGAGGCGAACCAAGACAGCGAAGAGGAAGAAGAAGATGGCAACGAAGACAGCAACTCGATGGAAACCTCTCGGCCATATAGAACAGCACGATGATATAAAAGGAGAATCAGCAACCAACTCACTATGGCTGGCGAACGTGAATAAAGATGATGACAGCGGATGAAGCACAACAGCGAGAAATCAACCCCTCGTGACAGCGAGCTACGAACGTAGATAAGAGACAGAGATAGACCGACTATGAATGTCTATATTGGTGGTGGAAAAAAAAAAGATGAGATGCTCTGTTTTCTTTTTGCACGGAAAAAAATGGTTTTCTGATCAAAAGAAGGGTTGGGAAAAATTACAAAAAGGAGCATGTGAAAATCACAAGAAAAGGCACAAGAATATTACAAGGGAGGACACGAGAATTTTTCTAAAATTTTAAATCAAATTTTATTATTTATTATTATATTTTTTTTAAATTTAGAGTGATTACAATATGTTCTTCTAAACATTAAATACAAACTATGAGTTGTGAATCTGTAAAACCTGTTCATTTTTATTTTCATGAGTTGTACTTGTATTACATGGATTGTGAGCCTTTTGATTAATGATATTTAGGGGTCCATATATTTAAATTTTTAAAGATGTTATCCAAAAAAAAAAAGAACAATTATGTTACCTTTACACTTAAAAAAAATCCATCCATCCACGCCTAGAAAAATTTAATTTAGTGACAAAATTAAAATGAGAGATTATTCTTTCCTCGCTAAAAGTCTGAATTAGTTGACAAAAAAATATAAATTTTTCTATTTCTAAATTTCTTTTCAATTAGAAAATATAATATATTAAAAAATAAAAATATAAGTAAAAATTTAAATGGCAATATAGTCATTTTAATTGAATCACTATACCCTAAAAAAATAGTTATCGGCGTTGCGATTATATTCTTCTTTCCCATTATGCCAAGGACAATTTGTAAGAAATTTTTCCACAGACCCAATGCACTACATCATTTATATATTTTCCAATAAAAATATGTCATGTCAAATGGCTGTAAATATAAATTGATTTTGCAATTGATAATGGTAGAGAGAAAAAATAAAAGAAATTAAAGAAATACTCTATTTCAAAAATAAAATATTAAAAATAATAACATAATATTTTATTTGATTGAAATAGTGCACCTGGTTCATGTAAGAATATTTTGAGGATTTGCTTCTACTATATATGTTTCTAGGAAAATAACAGTTACATCTCAAAAACTTAATTTAATGACAATTACAAAAAAATGAGTTAAAAATATTTTTTGTAAAGGATCACAATAGATAAATAATTTAAAATCAGGACCACTGAACTCTGAAATCACATTGCATGACCAAGGGATTAAATTGAATGGAAAAATTATATATTTAGCCTTATAAATATTTAAGATTCTTTTTTCAATCAAATTAAGATATGTGGATAATTTATATTATATATATATATATATTCTATAATAAACTCTTGTTATTAATATTATTACAACATTAAAATCTATTTGTTTTAATTTGATTAGATAAAAGTACATTAAACATGTAAGGTTAAGTACGCAAGTCTTGTCCTTGAGAAATGACAAAAAAAACCCTCCATTAAATTTAAAAGTACCCCCCAACCATCATCATTGCCACCACTAGAGAAATCTATGGGTTAGACCATCGCCAGTTGGAGCTCCAACCACTGGCCAACAAAATAATTATTTAAAAGTGGCTAGGGGATGATTTGAACCACTAAGCCATTGGTACTATTAATTATATGTTGCAAAATGTTATATATAAAATGAACCAAGGTCCTAAAAAAAGTTCACTAACATCATGATGACTTATTATAACCATAAATTAAACTTGTAATTTTAGTAGTGTATAGTTTATTAATTCATCAAAAGGAACCTGTTAACGATCTCATTTGAATATCCAATTGTTCTATGCTATGAAAGTGCACAGTCATGATAAATAATGCAATGTGAATAGAGTAATCCTCACATAGACTTGCATGTGTTAAAAGTATGATCAAGCAAAAAGATATGCAAATAATTAAATTGAGCAAAGCAGAATTAGTTGGGCAAGATGGGTTGCAATTATATTAAAAACTAGAAAAATAAAGAAAAACATGATTCTTATACTAATCAGAATGAAATGGAACTTTGGATTATTTTGTTTCCTTGCATTTAGTGTGTAACACTAAAATAACATCCTCTTATAAATGTCATTAATAAAAATAAGTGCTAACCTAGGGTTCTAAAAAATACTTTTTTTTTTTGCCAAAGAGTTCTGAAAATACTTGAATAAGCTCTTGATCATTATCAATTTTTTAATTTCATTATTGCTCTCTTGTTACAATTAACAAAATCCAATTTTTAAGTTTCAACCCTAATGTGGCTATACAAGGTTAGAAAATATATCTATATCTTGCTAACAAAACTCTTCTATTCATCATGCAAACTCAAGTTTTTGCACTATTTTATCCAAGATCTACACTCAAGCTAGTTAGCCTTCTCAAGCATCACTCAAATGAACAAAACATCTAAATTATGGCCAATCATTTAGAAGCATTAGGAGAAGAGTAAAATAAACACTTACATATAATTAATCAACAAAAAAGATAGGAGAAAGTTAGTATTAATTAATTCATGCAAGCATTCAAAATAAATTTAGAACAAATGTGTTTAGCTACTCATAAACATCCAAAAGCTACAAATATACAAAATATTTGTAGTGATTTTTTGTCTGATTTTTTTCTTTTATTTGGTTTGTTCTCTGCACTTTCCCATTTGGTGTAGCCATTCACTTTTTATCTGGTTTTTTTCATCTTTAGACTTTACAAAATCATCAATAAAGAACTAAAAAATACAACAAAAATAGTAGAAATTTGCCCACAAACTATCATATAAAGTCAAGTGTGCAAAACCAAATATATAAGATGCACATTTGTTCCTAATTTGGATGTTCAAAATATTGTCAAAAATATTAAAATCCAAGAAAATTGTGCTGAAGTAACATAAAATTCTAAAAAATTATTAATAATAAAAAATTTAATTTTAAAGCATAGACATATATTCTCAAGTTTAAATTTAATTTCAAAATTAAAAATATTTATTTTAAGGAAAAAACAAAAAGGAGTCCAAAAAGTTGCTCGAGCCTTTTTTCAAGGCCGGGCTCCAAAGTCTGATTTTTTAAAAAAATATTAATTTTTTAAAACCCAAACACTCATTTCCTAGTGTGGTAATCTAAAGTAGAATGAAAATTGAAATGAACCATAAAAGTATGTTTTGACTTTTGAAAACCATGTGAAAGTAGTTTTACTACATTTTTAGAAGCCATACATACTTCCATGCTTAAAGAGTGTTGATAAAGATATTTGTATAGATTACTCGTTAATAAGATTATCACATTATATGGTAGCAAGATTTAAAACTTATTAACCCATTTACAAGAAACAAGTTATATTCTAAAAAGTAGTAGTAATAATTATTACGTTTTTAAAGCAAAATTCCATCATATCATTGTTCTGATGTAGAGAAACAATTGCGTACGTAAGAGCTAATGAGATAAGGCGATCATCAGAAGTAAGTAATTATTGCCTTCTGTGTCTTTTGCGTTCAGAAGATAGTTTAATTTGAATGTCATAAATCAATAGTTTCCTGGAGTTTTATCGTCTGGCTAGCAAGTCAATCTTTCCATGAACAACAAGTTCTTCTTCTTTTCTTCAACCCAGACACTGAGTGTATCCTCCACTTCCTATCTCAAACACCCAAGCAGAGCCATAACATACTCATTACAATAGAGATCATTCAATGATTCATAAATAAAATTACATGGCTTCTGTTAACAAGTTTCCCTTTCATTACGAACTCTCCTCATTTCTCCTTCTTGGCTTCTGTTAAACAAGTTTGTTCGCTAACATCTATAACGCCAGAAACTACAAATACGTCAACCTAGGTTGCTTGTCTGACTTGGCAATGGCCCAAAAACTCCTAAACTTAACCTTGCTGGCCAATGTGACGCCACGGCCATATTCATACCAAATTTAGACCGACATCAAAACTTGCCAAAATAAGAGCATTACAGTGCTTCTCTGTCTCTCCACGGAAGCAACAGAAGTCACTCCTCAACTCCACCAATAAAGAGAGAATTAGAGAAAAGAGAAGCTCAAATAAAGGGAACAATTCAATATTCAACTCAATTTCTTCAAAAACTAATTTGAATAATTGAGAAACTCTAAGATTATTTTGGAGCCCAAAAATATTAAAATAATAATAAATGAAAATTTTAACATAATCCTAAAAGTATAAACAAGGACAATCTAGATTTATATATTTAGGTATCCTATTTATTGGAAATAAACAATATCTAAAACAATCATAAAAAATATAGATAAGAAAATCTAATTAAACCATAAAGAATCTAATGGAGATTCAATATCCTTATTCAAACAATCTTAATAGAATAATCCTAAATATCTAAAATAAACTAATTGAATCTCATCCATATTCCACCAACAATCAAGTTCACTGCTGCTTGGTGTGATGCACGATTTTGGGATGGCATCAATTTTGATATCGTGACGGGTTCAAACCAGCATTGGTATGACCTAGCTAAAGCTTTGAAGGACTTGGACCAGTAGTCGATCCTCTCGCTGCACTGCATGTACATTCCCAGATGCCCTCTTGTGCTCGGCGATCAAAACCTACTTGTGCGATTATACCGATGGAAACATGACCAATCTTGTGAATGCATGGACCCAATGGACCAGCATGCAAGTTACGAAGTAGGTGTTTCTTGGGCATTCTGACATCACCGAATGCGGCTAACATTGGTAAGTTTATTTCCGCAAAACGTTCTGACGTCTCAAGTTCTTCAGTTCTCAAAGGGTCTTCTAAGTATGGCCAAAGTGATATAGCAAACCATTAAAGATAATGTCTAAAGAACTACTCACGAGTGTTAGTTTTAATTGTCAGTTGATCACTGAAACTGCTGTCATTGATCAGCTCCTACTTCTGTGATAGATATACCATAAAAAATAATTAATAAAATTAATTAATATATTTCCAAAATAAATAAAATTTAATTTCTAAT